GAGTGTGGCAAAGCGAGAAGAACCAGGCCCCCTCCCCTGAGCACGGAAGGAGACCCTGAAGTCTCCAAAGAATATGTTCACAATGGCACGCCTTCCATTACTGTCGTTAGGCGCCGGTGAGGTGCTGCTGACTCATCTGCGGGTCATGCTCAACAAGCACCCAGCCCGCCTGGTCTGAGGCCACTCTCAGTTACAACACACCCCCTGCGGCTCACCTGGGCTTCGGATTTCATCGTTTCCTGAGGGGGTTCTCAGTTCTTACTATCAGGGGATAGGTGTGGCGCAGATGTTTAACATGCTTGGCTGTCCCTAAAAGGTAAGCAGTTTGCTTTGCTTCACCCAGAAGCACTTGGGACAAAAAAGCTTGGCACCTACTTGTGAAAAATGTCCGTCCCTGCTCTCAGTCAGAGATGACCTCATGACAGGTGGCCATGTGAGAGACCCCGGGGTGTGCAAATGGTCAGTCCCCCACTACTAACCTGAATGTCCAGTTGGAAGCCACCCAGCCTCACCACGGAGACGAGGCTGCCCGCTCCTTCCATCAAGATCACAGTCCTCATTTCCAGAACATTTTCTTTCTACTTGAGCCCTTGGTACCATCCGTACAAATGTGCTTGACGCAATGGATGGATGGATGGATGGATGGAGATAAGAGCTGTAAGAGCCCCCAATAAAGTGATTTTTTTAGAAGACCACAGCCATGAAGACCCTACCGAGCGGCGCTCCTCTGTGGCACACGGGGCACAGAGCTGAACTGACTGCACGACCGCTGGTCTTAGGTGTCATGGGATTTCGTTTAAATGCACTTGTTTCAGAAAACGGCCCTCTCATAGACACGAGAGCCTGTGACGCTGGGGACAAGGCAGGCTGGAGACCCCAGCCTGGTCGTCCCTGCTGATCACCCACAGGGCTCCGGAAAGTTAGTGTTTGCTGGGCGTCACAATCCCCGGCGTCACTTTTCTGCTCAGCCACACAAGGCACCGACAATTGATTTTTTGGACGACTACTTGCTGAGCGGAATGCCTTGTGGTCAGTCTGTGAGGAAGAGAGATGGATTTTCTGCCTGGCAGGGATCGAGCTGTGGTCTAGGGTGACCCTGTGGCACTTCAGTGGGGGTAAAGCCTAGAGGGGGGCTTGGAGGCTAGAGTTGGGTGTTGACACTGGTTCTAGGTCAGATCATCAGGCCCGGAAGCTCAGCCAGATGGCAAGGGGTCGGGGCTACGGGTAGGCACATGGAAATAGCTATGTTCCTGCACGTCTCGTAAACAGGGAATCGGCTGCACAGCAGCCAAAGGACCATACCTATCGTCCGACCCCTCACCCTAAGTCACAGCCAAAGACCCACCAGCTTCAAGCACCAGTTTCAGAATTCCAGTTGCAACAAGACTAGCCTCGTTTCACATCCGAGTAGTATGTAATCGGAGCACTAGTGGCATCATAGGTTGGCAGTTCAAAAGCACCAGCTGCTTCCTGGGAGAAAGATGAGGCTTTTACTCCTGGAAAGAGTTAATCTTGGAAACCCACAGGGGCAATTCTACCTTGTCCTATCGGGGCCACGTGAATTGGAAGTGA